AGAGATTCTACCTTCCTCCTTGCCCTCTGGATCTAGGTTCCCTCTTGAAAGCTTATAAGCCAGTCACTTCTTGCCTTTGTAGCCCCTCCTGTACATGCAGTTTTATGAAGCTATTTTCCCAACTAATATATGAATTTTCCTTTGACCCTGTATAGAGTTTCCAAGAAGCAGCTGGTGGGTTTGAACTGTCGATCTTGTGGTTTGCAGTCCAGTGCTGATCCTACAGTCCTCCACAAGGAGTTCTTATATTGTCCTAGGTACATACATGGTTACTTACTCAACTCTAACCAAAGGTTGGCAGTTTGAACCCACCCAGAGACACCTTGGAAGACAATCCAGGTGACCTGCTTCTGAAAAGGCACAGCCTTGAAAACTCTAGGGAGCAGTTCAGCTTTGCACACCTAGAGTTGCCATGAATTGGAATAGATGCCACAATAAATAACGGCAAAATGGAAAGTGATTACATTAGATTTCATAAGTGTTAGGATTCCAACACATGGCTTGGGGAGTACAATTCAATTGAATTCAGTCTCCTGTTGAGTTGTCTTTTCCATTTCATTACTTCATTAGGTGAATGCATGGTGTTTGGAAACCGCAAAGCCTGTGTTCCGTATTCTGGGAGATGCCTCTGACGCCTGGGTCTGTACAGCAGTACTTGACTCCCAGGCCCGGCTGTTGGTGGTGTCCAAGCATGGTGTGGTCAGCCTGTGGAGCTCTGTCACAGGAAAACTGCAGGGGAAGCAACATCTATCCAGCGTCAAAGAAGAAACACCTATCTGTGGGGTAGCAGTCCAGACACAAGGAAGGTTGGTTGCTGGGTTCAGCAACGGCTCTGTCTCTTTGGTAAGCAACTTTAATGACTGTATGATAACATTAACTCAACTCTAAGGACTCAGATGTCCCAGAAAGTGGAAGAAATCATCTCACCTTAAATCTTGATGTAAATGACATTTGACTTGTTAATTTTTTTGTTGGTGTTGTCTTGTGCTTTTGAGTTGATTCTGACTCATGACGATCCCATGTCCCAAATAGAAATGCACTCCATAGGGTTTTCTTACCTGTAATCTCTATGGAAGCAGATCACGCCAGGACTTTCTTCTGTGGTGCTGTTGGATGGACTCGAACCACCAGTGTTTGGATTGCCAGCTGAGAACAAACCATTTGAGTCACCCAGGGACCTTTTCTTAATTCTAGGGATTTATAACTTGGTACAGTTTAGGACCAATAGATCTGTTTTGGAAGAAGTGCAGCTAGAATGCTCCTTGGAGGCCAGGATGGCTAAGCTTCGTCTCTTCTACTTTGGACATATTGTCCAGAGGAAACAATCGTTGGAGAAGGATGTCATGCTGGGTAGGGTGGAGGGTCAGAGAAAAAGAGGAAGACCCCCAATGAGATGGATCAGCCAGGTGGCATCATTGATGGACTCAAGTGTGGCAGCGGTAGTGAGGTTGGCCCAGGATCAGACATTGTTTCGTTCTGCTGTGCATGGGGACGCTATGAGTCGGTTCCAACTCGATGGCATCTGACAACAGCGACAACAACAACAGTTTAGGAAACATCTAGTGACAGCTTCTGAGGGTCAGGCACCATGCTAGGTCCTGGAGGGACTATAGAAATACAAGACCCCCCAACCTCACCTTCAAGAAACCTATACCTTTGAGAGGGACAAACTTACTCAAGGATTTAGAGTAACATGCAGAGATGTAGCATGAAGCATACACTTAAAATTCAGCAGCTAAGATGGTGATGAGAATTTGGATCAGGGAAGGAATTAGGGTTTCCAGGGAGTCACTGGGGAGTTTGAACCTCCGACCCTGCCATTCAAACCAACCTTGCGGTCCAGTGTTTATCCTACAGTGCCACACCAGCGTTCCCACAGAGCTAAAAAATTGTGACTTCTGACACCAAATATGCTGTGGAGCTAAAATTCATAAAGTCCTTGTAAAGTGAAAAGTAAGAGAGTTTTTACTAAGAGCAGCCATGGACATAGAGCAACTGTAGGTTGAGAAGAAAATGCTAAAGGCTCCCTGCCGAGGGATTTATAGCACGTTTTATACAGACTGCTTGGCATTTAAAAATGTTACCGGTTTTGATAAGTGTTGTAAAATAGTTGCAGGAAGGTGATGGGTGTTGGTCATAAGACCTTGACATATGGTGATGACTCATGGGACACGATCCATATATGGACACATCTTTCTAGAAGTGCTCCTAACACAATCTTGAGCAAGATATGATCTCATACTTAGGCACTCTCTGGGTAGCTAAGTATAAAAACAATTGTAAGCAAAACATGGTTTTATCATGTATTTTCTGAGAACAAAAAAAAAATCTGGATCAAAACATATCTTACTGTAGAATTCCTGGAACATTTTTCTCCTTGTTTAAGTGTAATCATATTCTTGCTGTGAGTCTTTTGTTACTTGTGAAATCAGTTTAGAGGCTAATGTTAGCAAAGAGGAAGAAAGGAGACCAGGAAGAACACAGAGGTATTGGCTTACTCCTTTGTCAGCCCCTTTAGTAATGCGTGTTGTTGTTGTTAAGTGCCGTCGAGTCGGTTCCAACCCACAGCGACCCTGTACAAGGTTTCCGAGGGTGTAAATCTTTACGGGAGTAGAAAACTTCGTCTTTCTCCTGCAGAGCTGCTGGTAGTTTCGAACTGCTGACCTTCAGGTTCGCAGCCCGATTCGTAATCACTACGCTACCAGAGTTCCTTCAAGTGCCTTAAAATTTTGTGTGGTGCTGTAGGATCAGCACTGGACAGCGAACCACAAGGTCAGCC